TGGATGGATGGATGGATGGATGGATGGATGGATGGATGGATGGATGGATGGATGGATGGATGGATGGATGGATGGATGGATGGATGGATGGAGTTGCAAGCAAAGAAGAATAATGCTTTTAACATTTTTATATACAGTATGTAGTTACATTAAAAAAGCTAACAGTCAGTAATCAGCACCTGGCACCTGTTTCATTGTATATATTAGTCAGTTTTAAGAATGCACACTCACAGCCTGTTCTGCATTCTTAAAACTGGCTTTATTGGTTGCAACAACAACTCTCAAAGAAAATACCTTAACTATCTGTATATCCTTAGGTATCTTTTCTCTTACCTTTAAGCACATTTTATCCTTAAAACTTCACTAAAAAAGCATTCAAATGCCTTGCCATCTATCATTTCTTGAAACCAAAGCGACAGAGACTTCCAGGCTTCACAGTTTCCAGCAACATCTTCTATCTGCTCTTGCGGGATCTCAAGCTTTTCCCAGATCAACGTAGAGACATTTACCATTCAGTGGGTTGTGAGGAAACCCAGCAACTTCCCCCTCACCTGCCGTGCCAGGCAAACAGACCAAGCATTTTTTCCAAACATTCAAACCACACCAGCTTTTCCCTTTGTAAAGAAGCAAGGGTGTTTTTCGGAGTTCCTCAGATTTCAGAGCATCTCATCCTATCTGTAAGAGTAAGCCCAGCAATGGTGCATTGAAAACTCTTTTAATTCAGCTGCTTGTGCTTGCATTCTGTCTCTCATGGTCATTACCCAAGCTGAAGATGGCAGTGTAGACTGTCTGGTTAGAGCCTCACCTTTTGGCACAGCTCACATGCTGCAGTGCATCAAGCATAATTGTCATCCTTCCCTGCCTTGTCTTTCATGGCTGTGAGTCATCATTTCATTTAGCATTTGAATATATAACCTTATATTTGTCATGCCGCTCAGACATATCAACTCTATACCAGCGGTTGAAAAAATCATTTTGATGACGCTCTACTACGGTTATGATTAGTGAAGGTAATCCGATGAACAGAAAGGATGCTTTTTTACCTAAAAGAACATCTGGAAAAAAGCCCAACAGTCTTCAGTCTACCTTAAATGCATTTCTCTTTCTATAACTATCAAAAAGCTAAATATGCACAGTGGTTAGAGGGTTAGCATCATTGCCTCACAGCTTTGCATTTTCTCTCTGTATATTAGTGGGTTCTCTCCGGGCTTCCTCCTGCAAATCCACAACCATGCGTGTTAGGTTAATTGGTCCAAGTTACCCAAGGAGCGAGTGTGACTGCGCATGGTTGTCAGTCACCGTGTGGCCCAGTGACAGTCCAGTTTTCCCTCTGTCTGTTTTGTTTCCGTTTACTGTTATTCATTGCATTCATATCTCTACACGGTGTGGCAGCAGAGGATGTAAAGGTACCCTTCATTAACATTCTCTCGTGCCTTAATTGCTGTGACGGCATACACGTGTTTATGCTGCAGCAGGCCCTGCAGAAGTCAAACACGAGAGGTCTCCCCCAAGAGCGCATCTTTGTTGTCCCACGCGCTGTCCTCGTTTACATTCTGGCACAGGATAATTACCCGTGACAGTGACACTGCTCAGTCTTGCGGAAGTTGACAATAATTTAAAGTGTCCTTTGATAAAAACTTCTTGTTTGGATTTACTGTGAAGTTTGTGAGTCAAAGAATGAGCCGGGACTGGTGGGGAGTGCCTGTACTCATTTCTTCTGTTGCTTACAGAGGAGCCTGGAGGAATAGGCCCACCCCCAGCCAATGAGCCATGACTGTTTAATTGCCTGACATTCTGTCAGAGCACACACCCTCAAAGCTTCTAGAGAAATGGAGATTTTAAAGTCCAAAGAGGGGATAAAGCCAAACACACTGTCAGGCTCAGAGGCAAATTAAAGATAAGAAGTGGAGCTTTTAATTTGACATTTGTAAAAAGTTTTAGCGGTTCAGTTTAGAGACATTTTATTGGTCCCTTTTGTCTCCCTTGTGTAATACATGGCTTTGGTTTTATATGTATGGCTCTATGGGGCAAGAATGAGAGCAAGTGACGAAGAGGGCTAAACAATGACAGAGGCTGTTGGGAACAATATTTGTCAGAAGTTAGGCCCTTGATGAATAACAAGACGATTTTAAGGCTCAGATCTCTGCTGGGGTCTCTCTTGAGTTGATTTAGTATGTTTTTCTTGTGCTAGCTTGGAGTCTCTCCTGGAGCTCTGGTTCTCACTCACAGTCCAAAAACAATCATGTAAGGTTAATTGCCAATCCTAAATTGAATGTGGGGGGTAAGCGTGCAGTGGTTGCTGGCTTAGGCTCTGGCTGCCCTGCAAGGCAAAACTGGATAAACATGGCTGCGTTGTTGTTTGGATGTTTTTGCATAGCTTTAAAATGATATTCTTTAGCTACCTGTGTAAATTGTATGGATATATTTTGGATATGCAGAACAAAACTCTATCTCAAATTCAGTTCTTGGTATGTCACAACAATGTAATGTCCAGTATCTCTCATCATTGGATAGTAAAAACCCATTGTAATCAAAATAACTTATTTTGAAAAAAAAGAACAATGGTGTTACTGATTTTGATAAAACTGGTAATAACAGGCACTGATCCACCTCATGCAAACCCTCTCATTTTTTCAGAAATGTCCATCTTACCAAAGATCCATTTTCTCTACCACTTCAATTTAGGTCAATGCAGGCTAGAGCTTGTACCATCCACCATCAAATGAGAGGCAGATTTACTTTGGACAGTTTGCAAGTCCATCTCAGGGCTGGATGCACTTAACAAAAGAAAAAAAAACTACATGGACACAGTAACAGAAAAAAAAGGTTTGTGTTTATAAGTAATAGTTAAGCTGTACAGTTGCTATTTCCATCTCAAGTAGTTTTAATGTTCAAAATCTGCAATTACCTTTTGTTTTTCTCTGCACAGAAACAGATTGAAGACTGATAATTACTGACTGACAGTACACATCAAATGGAGAAGCTATTATTGTAAACAAACTGGAGCTCTGCTTTCATCCACCCAGATACAACTAACTCTTGACTTCCGTCTACATCATTGTCCGTCTCACCCTTTTCACTGCCAGATAGAACAAATATTTTGAAAGACAGCCATCAACAGTGGCTCTCTGGTATGCAGTCAGGCAACACCTCCTAATTCTAAACTTTCTGCAGCAAGTGATGGTCAAAAGATTAACAAAAATAAACTTTATATGAAATATTGTGAAGAATTTTCTTTTTACATGCCTTGTGTGAAAGTTTTTATTTGAATATTTGAATGATAAAGCCATTGATTGGTAAGATAATAATAAGTGTTGAACCAGTCAAAACTAAGAACCAAATATGAATGAATGTAAGAATCAATTTCCCCAAACAAATGTGTATTTTACCATTTAAATCTGCAAGACACCAAGAACAAGGTTTAGAATTTAGCTTATTTACAGTATATCTTACTGCTATTTAATTAACTTGACCTGTAGGTAAAAGAAGAAAAAGGCTCTAGTGAACAAATCAAGTGGAATTTCTTGGTCTTCACAAAACATATCTGACATCCAAGTAAAATGTCAATCAGTAAACCACATTTTATAGTTGAGTGAAAGTTTCAGAAAAATGACCCAAAGCCATCCTTCTCACTTCAACATTATAGATTATTTCTTATCTTGTCTATGTGCAATTCGGTTCCGTTCAGACCGTTAAGTCAGAAAAGAGGCAATCGGTGAGCCCTCTCACTAAGAAGAGGTGGCAGCATGGTGGATCAATGGTTAGAATGGATGCCCGGTAGCAAGGAAGTTTTGCACTTGGGCTTTCAGTTTTCCCTAGGTTAGTGATTTTTTTCTCTCTGTAGGCAGTCCTGTTTCCTACCACGAGGTCAATAAATAGCTGAGACGGTCTGAATGTCGATGTCTGCTGGCTTTGTGATAGACCAGTGATTTGTCCAATGCCTTTCTTTGCACATTTATGTGCCTTAGCCCTCCATGACTCAGAATTGGCGTGTGAATAAGTAAAACCAATGTGAAAAAGGAAGGTTATCAGTTTGATTGTGAGGATTTGCTAAGGATCGTCATGAACAGATCGGCATGCATAGTTTAGCATTTCCTTTAATGCTGTAATGCAAAACTGTGATTTCACCTCTACCCTCGTTTTCCTTTTTATGTTGAGATCAATGATTCATTCCAACAGAGAATGAATAAAGTATATGAATTACTGAATGTCCACGGGTCCATTTTCTCTCTGATTCTTTGCCATGTCTAAATGGAAAGAAAAAAAAGGGGTGGTTTGTGAAGTCAGTTGTCAGGACATAAAAAGAAACAAAAAAATAAGAAAAAAAGGCAAACCCACAACCACATCTTTCCAAAATCTTGACTGTGGCCTTAACTTTGTGAAGTCCAGGAACATGTCAAGCCACTGAAACATTCTTGTTTTGGATACAGTGTAATGGAAGCAAAGTGGGCCTATCCACAGCTCCGTCCTCTGTGTTGCATCTACAGGCTTTTGCCCAGCAAGGCATGCAATTATGAAGATTCCACAGATTCTCGCATAACTGATACTTTTTCTATGACCACATAAAAATAAATAGTCTTGCAGTGTATATGTGGCAGAATACGTCAGGAAACTGTTTTGTGAGCATAACAATTGCCTCTGTTTGAGCTGGCACACAGGTTATCTTGACTGTTAAAACAGAAGCCTCCCAAATTTCAAATATACACTTCAATGTTAAACGCAACTTCTGTGGGACGTGTAAATGGAAGGATTATCTGTGTGAAACTCAAACCCTTTTTCAGTTTATTAGCAGAGGAATGTTAAAAACCGTCATAAAAGAAGCGCACCAGTATCTGCTTCAGGTTTAATAAAAGGTCAGGAATTCCTTTGACCTGTTCTTTTTTTTATCTATTGGCCTGTGCATTACCAGCCCAGAAACATTAGAGTTGTAATTGTACACATGAATTACAACATCTGTATTTATTTGCTTTTCCGCCTGCCAGAACAAATTTCAGTCACACATATTTCAACAAAATTTCTGACAAAGTTTACCTCAGAAGGGAAAGTTTTCGATTTGGGATTTGAAGGCCGTCCATATTATGTGATTTATTGCAGTCTAAGATGTTTTAGTAATCTTAACCATGCAGGTTTTTAATCCTTAAGGCAAATCATATTCAAGAAATTGTATGGTAACCAGAACCAGGCAGTTTAGAATGTATGAAATGACAATGAAACATAGACTAAATCTCAAATATATGTTTTGAATTAAATCCACATTAAAACATTAGTGGCTGGGATGTGAATAAAACAAATGTGTTCATTTCAACAGCTCTTTGCAAAATTAAATTCCCTCACTCTGTATCTATATGGAATATTCCTGAAAGTATTCTGAGAAATACAATACACTGTGTTCTTCTAAGAAATTATTTTTTTCCTGTTATTCTTCTGTCTGTCGTCACAATGAAATCGCAAAAAATGTGCGTGTGGGAACAAATCAATAGTTTTTCTTGACTATTTCATGTGTTGCTGCGAAACTGGGCTGGTAGCACACACTAATCATGTCCTCGTTCTTTTTAAAATTTGTGTGAAACACAGAGGGTCAAAATATGAAAGAACTTGCCAGAGTAGACATGATGACAAGTCGACACATTTTTTTGTAGCCTAACAGCTGTGTTTACATCTGCCGAGCTAAAAGAAGATTTTTTTCCAAACATCATACCACAATGTGCTTTCCAGTATGAAAACTGTGGCATTCGGCATTTTCCCATTTACCGTTTTTTTTTTTTTTTAAAGAAACTCAAACAGCGGTGCAAGTGCCCTGTTGAGTGATATGTTCTCGTATACAGGCATTAACATTTCTGCCTCTAAACGTCCCATATGCAGAAGCATTATTTACTTTCATGGTCTGACCACAGGTCTTTAAAATGACATTTTTAAGCTTGGTGTTAGGTCTAGTTGTTGTCAAACAGGAAACCGAGGATCTCGGGTGGAGCTGCTCTGGTAAAAGATTGAATGCTGGGAGCTGAGAGCCACAGATTTCCCCGTGATATCTGAATAAACCTTCATTTTTTCTTTTTTTTTCATCCTCCCTAGAAAATACCTGCTGAAACCCAAGACCTTTGGCATGTGGGGCTGTTACCACAATTGTTTCTTTGTACTTTATATATTTAACACAAATAAACATTGCATAAAAACACACTGAAAACAAAGTGCCACTGAGAAAAAAAAAGAACATTGGAGATGAAATCCCACCTTAATTTGCCTTTTTAGGACAAAAAGTAAAGAAGTATTAAAAACATATAAGCTAAATGAATTGGCATGGTAAGATGGTGGTACATTAAAAAATACATATACATAGTAAAAAGATTGTTAATGTATGAAAAAGTTCATCATACATGTGTGTGCAAAGGTAGAACATGCTTTGAATTCAAACAAAGGAAAATGAAAATAAAGAAATAAAGAATTAATGAATGAAATAAGGTGGACTTAAATTTCAAACTTATTGTTCCGTAGTTGCACCCAAATAACTCATGATAGACTAATAATACAGCTTTTTCTGGAAGTGGGGAAGATTGTGCAGTCTCAGTTGTATTCAAGGTTTAAAATATTACATTTGCAAGTTATCAGTGGACATATTGGTAAAGATTTGTTCTGACTGAAGTTCCAAATCGAAGGATGCTGGCTTATTGTTGCTTTCAATTAAGTGTACAGCCACACAGTTATTCATTAAGAAAAAACACTTGGTGTATTCTGTGACATCAGTCTAATTGTGGTACCAACAGTATTGATCCACACTGGGAAAGTACAACAATAAGAGACAGTTGACATCCTGTTAATTCAGTCACAACCAAAGTATCTGTTTGTTGTTCTAGGATAGTAGAGAAGGGTGCCCCTTGAAAGGGGCGTTCCAATCATATTGAGTATCTAGGTCTAAGAACAGGCCAGTTTGTGTGGGTGTGTAACCATGTGGCTGACTCTTATTTTGCATGCCATTAAAGTGAATTGTTGTTCTGTCAAGATAGCACACTTCATGTGACTACTAATCAAAAATCACCCTATCCACCAAGATCTACAGGCTCCAGCACTCAAATATGTTACCTGGGGACAGAAAAATGAAAAAAGCAGGCACAATTGTGGCTGGAAGTAAGGTTCTCTGATTGCATGTGAGAAACGTCAAGCAGTTTGAGAAGGAGAGAGGAGCTGCTTATGTAAATGAAAAGCAAGTAGAGCCCTTTTCAGCACACAGTCACTTCAATTACAATTAAACAATGTCTGTGACTAACATACATAAGAAAGTATCCTGCGGTGAGGAAATTCAAATTGGCTGCCATGAGTTTTCAATCATAAAATGCTCCAAAGCTTTATGACTTAGGTGCTGTAGGTCGTGGTTGAAAAGTGACGGAAAGAGTAACTGCCTCTGAATACTTGTTAGTGATGTCACTATGATGTCACTGACAAGTCTATCTTCTGAAGCCGAAATGTGTTGTTGTCTCATTTAAGCAGGAAAGACTGATCTCAAGAAAAGGAAGAAGAAGTAATCCAATATTACCTGACTTATTTTTTCTCTTATTCATCCTCATAAGATGTTACTGTGTTTAAAAAGTATGGAATGAAGGCCAACGTAACCCAAGCATTATCATTATAAATCCATCGGCATGTAAAATGTATAAACTCAGACGATGTGTATTGTTCAGAGTTTCTAACAATCAAATGGATCAAATTGCAAAGAAACACAGGGATATGCCCAAACTGTTTATTGTTTGTGTATTTTTTTTTTTTTTTTTTAAGTAAAATTATATATTAAATTAATCAGGCACAGTGGCCTTGCACATGAGGCATGGCAAGGGAGTAATGACAAAGGGGAATTGTATATCTTACAGCTCCCAAGATGGAACTATCTTGTTCTGAATGACACATAGAATTATCTATTTTTTATCATCCTGACAAGCCCACAGCAGTGAACATGAACATTACAGTTTACAAAAAAATGGATATCTAGTATCAAGTAATTCAGCAAGTATCTTTGCCTCAGTCTTATGAATCGTCGTTTGAGAGTACAAAAGGCAAAAAGAGTGAGAAAAAAAACACTGCATTTTTTAAGCCGTAAGCACTTTTCACTTAACCTGATAAGTCCTGAAGCATAGAATGAATATATATCTGCCCTTGTGTATAGTACATCCACATCCAAACTGCCCTAAAAAAAGCATAAAAAATTAGGCTCTTGCTGAAACCTCGCCTGCAACATAAAAACACATAGAGATCCTTACACACTGCAGGGTTCCAGAAATTGCCTATTTTTCATCAATGTGATCCTTCAAACTCACAAACTCAAAGTTAGAAAGCTAGCAAAGCTTCCTATTTGAGAAACAACCTTTAAGCCAAAAGCCAGAACAACAAACCTTCAGTCTGTGCTGTGTCTCTTATGTTGTGTGCTGACTAACACAGGTGCAGTGGTATGTCTATGTAAGTCATATACTGTGTATATTGTATATATATATATATATGTGGATGTAATGTAAATCCCCACACCCTATAGTTTTTGTAGTTCCATTTATATTGAAATTCATTCTGTGCCTTATATTGTGCTGTAATTGAAATTTGGTACTTAATGCTAAATATTTAATTGGCATGTGAAGAATATGCTTTGCAACTGCAATCCAGTTCCATCCACTTTCTTAGTCTAATGCAAAGCAACAGTTGGACCACACACACACAATTATTCATACCCATGATGCTAATAGGTCACGTTATGTTAACTTTTCCTGTAGTCGTACGTCAAAATTGCAATGATTCCATAGTTGATTCATCTTTGTTCGTTTACTACCTTGCCTAATGGTTTCTTTCTTGTCGCAGTACATTCACTCATTTACTCAGTGAGTGGAACAAATTAATATCTTTAAGGTGGAAATGAAACGCCAAATGAGCCAGCATCTATAGAGGCAAGCGTATATCACCCAACCTCTCCCATGGATGAATGCTGGTACCATAAAGGCTCTGCTGCTTTTCATATGTGACAATACATTAATGAGCCACATTGCCCCCATTACACTCACGGCTGTTTGCCTCTCCAGAGAACAGGGGCAGCAGGGGAAGGCAAGCTTGCTGATGATTGCTCTGTTCTCCACAGAGCATAGCTTTCCTTTAATCATCTTGCTTTTTCGAACTTCTCCTGTCGTAGCCTTGGGCGAATTACACGCACAAACACACCAGCGTTTCATCAATATTCTGTCATTTTCTTCTCACTGTGGCATAATTGTGTGATAAATTTTGCTCTATATAATAAACCATATTGCTGAACTGTCCAGTTATCATGGGACGGGCATATGGTTTGGGGCTATAATAATCAAAATGGGCCACTGAATATGATGTACAGTACTGTTCATTGACAGTATAATTAATACAACATGAGCAACAACATAAAGCAGTTTGTCATAAATAAAGGAAATGCCTCCTCGAGATTATTTCATGTGAGGTTTGTTGAAGAATCTGATATGCAGAAGCATTACTTTTGATATCTTCAAAACCACAAGGGATGACAACACCATATTATTTGATTAAGGTTAATTTATTTGCCTTTGTAAAAAATACTTTTTTCATTTGTAATTATGCATCTCACTGACAGGGCTATTATTGGACAATATTTATGGGGTTTTTTTGTTTTTTTTCCACCAAGGTAAACAAAATGCATTGTTAGTTTGGATTACTGGTATGAATAATAGTTTCCCCTACAGCAGTTATGAACACTGGTCAGAGACATGTTAAGCCTGTGGGGATTCGCAGATTTTAGCGCTTAGACTCGGTTCAGTTTTCTTTAAGTGAAGGATGGCATCCTGTCCAAACTAAATTTGACAGCATCATCACACTAAATGGCAGCAAATTCAGAAATTCTGAATTCATTATTTCACTTGTTTAACTGTGACAAAACACACTGTTGAAATCTTATCAGTAGGGGTTTTTAATACGTTTGCTTTGCTCCATCTGTGTCATTTGTATGATGGATTTCACTGTATTTCCATTTTTGTGTTGAACCCCAGCCTGTAATCAGGGGAAGATGGCAAATGATGGTTGGTTTCATACAACAATAGAGCTTTCTTTATGTGTTCAGAGAGCTTCATAATATCAGTGAGACGGTGCTGTCATCAGGAGAGAGACAGGAGACGTGGAGGGGGTTGATGCTTTGTTGGGATGTCCATGTAAAATCACATTGTGAAACAGTGCTGTGATAGATTTATTCTTGGACATAATCAGTGGTAATCAAGGAAAACAATGAGGGGCATGCATGAAGCCCGGTGGCCTGCAGAAAGATGGAAGGAAAAGAAGAATTTCACATGAGCACATGCTGCGCAGCCCAGCAGCAAGAGGACCCAATTCTGCGCTGCGCCATCACATCAAAGTGCATTTTAACTCATCTTGGGTTGGTCTCTTTTTTTTTTAAACATGACTTTTCTCCGCCGTACAGCTGCTTGATTCCTCGCTGGTCTCATCTATTGTAAAGTCACAAAGGGTAAAGGTGGTTCTTTTTCCACACTGTTGATGGATATTGATTTGATGAGAGCGGCCCACACATTTATTTGCTCAGGTACTTACCTGCTCTATGCAATCCTGCCAGTCACTTATGAGGTGAATGTTTCCAGTCAATGACAAAATGGGGGACATGACAAAGTAAGGACAAGTGCTTCTCGAAAATACTGCAATTTACAGAGTATGCTTTTAGTGTGTTAACGTTTTTTTTAACTGAAGTGATGTGTGTGTCAAAACCAGCTGGAAGATCCTGTTTTTGGCTATATATGTGTTAATTGGTTAATCTGAAGAATCACTGAGATGGACTGGATGACATGTTGGATGCCAGGTTTAATAGTCATATCCAGAGACACATACCCTCTGTGTCTCTATCTGGTGACACATTGGCAGCTTGAGCCTATTAGTCTCAAACATAGGCTTTATGGAGTGTGTTAGTAGTGCATTATCTTTTAAGTTTGACTCAGTCAACAATGAAGCTCAATCGAGAATGTGATGAAGAGGCAGAGTTGTTCTTACTCTGGCCTTCCTCCTGGTGAGAAACTATTCAGTCTCTCCTCAAAGTGGTCACTGGTCTTGGAGAGACTTGAGGCAAGGCCAAGGTCTTGGTATGAGCAGAACCGACTCCCTGACCTCTGTAATTGAGAAGCAGGAAGAATACTGCATTCGTATCAAATGAAAAACTATTTTAACACAGACAGGAGGAGCAGTTGCCAGGGAAAATAAGTTGATCGAGGAGTTGTCTGCCCCATGTGGTTTAAGCGGTAGGACCTGCTGTCCATGCTATGATTAGATTGAACTTGCTCTAAATTAGCTCAAACTTGCAGCAGAATGGTATGCTCTGTGTCAAGCAGTGCTGACAATTCGCAGATCTACGCATGGAAAAGGAGTGATTGTCAATTCAACCAGATACAAAGGTGTTTTTTCCATTTTTGTTTTATGAGGGAGGAAAGAATATTTGCCAGCTGCTGGAGCAGCCATGGGAGAGAGCGGAGACTGAAGGGCAGCATTGGCAGCTCTGTTTGTGAAACGTGTGTCTGTTTTAAATGTAACAAAACAAAATTACATAATCACACTTTTTTGTTTCTATTGAAAGATGCATAGCACATCCAGGGCTCATCCCACAACCTGATAAGAGCTTAGGCCCCTGACATTGTGCTGTTGCCAAGAGTGTGACTGCTGCATCAAAGCGAGTCACACAACAGCTTTTCATCTCAGAATAAGCAAGGGCACCGGAATACCACTGGTCAAAAGACAGCTCACTTATAGTTTTTGTTCTGAGCTGAGGAAGCTACACATCACAATGCACAGGAAAAAATATATATAATCTGCCTGTCTGCATGCTCTGCTGCATACACAGACAAACGGGATTGATGATGAATATTATAAATAAAAAAACATTGGTGATGTGGGTAAACACAAAGACTTTAAGCCTGCTCACACCATTATCTCATTGACTCAGTTGTTTTTAGAAATAATTATTCTCTGTAAACATTTCCTCATGTTTGTCCATTTGGGTTTTGCAAATTACATTTTTTCAGAGCATAAACATTACAGTCTATAGGTCCAGTTTATTTTGGGGATTTCATTTGTAGAAAAAAAACAAAGGTAAAGGTTAGACTGGATTTGGATCATAGCACACTGATACATAGACTAGAATACTTTTCCGTACTGAATTAATCACATATAGGTTAGTGCTGTTAATGTAAAAATGCTATTTAAACACTGTCAAACCTTTTTGCCTTTGCAAATAGTTTGTTCTTCTAAAACAAAAGGCCTGAACAAGCGTTTGGTGAGCACATCTGTGAGAACTGTACTGAGAAGATTCAGCACTCAATGCAGATCACAGAGAAGAGAAACCCATGGTTTTATTCACAAATCTCCTCTGAATTGGAGTTCTGCTTCAAGATCACGGGTCAGCTAGTCATGAAACCTTCACTTTCACTCAGCACTAAAGGAAAAGAGGAAAAAGTGCAAACATAGAAGAGCCCATGCAGAGTCCTAGCGAGGAGGCGAACAAAAGAGGAAAACAGAATGAAATAATTTATAGTTCATGACAGGAGGCAAGAAAATGTCTTGTAAGAGGAAAATAAATGTGGCTGCAGAGGGAAGGATCAAATGGACAATAGTATACCCCAAGATTAAATTTGAATTGTCCTCATAAATTGAACTCTATGGATGTAGGCATTTAATGTTGGGTGTGTTATGAATAAATATGCAAAATGATGAAAATCAACCCTGAACCGATCATCGCAACATGCATTATTTATGTGGGAAAAAATCTTCTTTGCCACAAACCTCTATTGTTTTCCTACAATTATGAAAACATCGTTAAGCTTTACTGTTGCGCTGAGCGTTTCCTGATGATAATAAACAAGAGCCAGGTTTGGTGCAAATACAAACATGCTGCCTCTCTCATAAATGCCCACTGCAGCACAAACGGTGGATTAATCCAGCAATTAAATTAGTAAACAGCCTTAAACCCTTGCGACTAAAGTGTTGGATGTTTCAGCAAATTCAAGACTTAAGTCAAAGGAAACGGCTGTGTGTACCTATAGGGTATATCTTCAAGAGTTCTGCAAATTATTAAGTTTTATAGATGCATTCCACATACTTACAGCTGTCGTTTTCTTTGCATAAATTCCTTAAATGTACTAAACATCAATGTGTCCCTCACATGCCACTGCATTAATTTGAACTTATTAGGTAGGACATCACCAGCCCACTGATCATCACAATGATCTGGTTTTTTCTGTAAATACAGACTGGGTCCACATCCAGCTCACCTGTGCGCCCCCCTTTGTCTATGTTCTTCCAAACAGTAACTTTTTTAAAGTGTGGACCAGTTTGGGGTGGGAACTGTACAAGTTTTCTATCCACCAATGATACAATTTGCCAAAAATATCTCATGAATAAACATAGTTCTCTTAATAATTTAGACATACTTATATGCATGGGTTCATTTCAGGGCCTCAACAAAAACATTGAAGGAGGAAATGTACAAGTGAGTCAAGATTTAATAGAAATATTCAAGGGTTTTGTTTCTTCATGTCTTCTATGTTGTCAATTGCACCTCTAGCTTACCATTAAATATCATTTTTTGAAAGAGCAGCCAAGAGTGTCAGGACACTGCTGAAAAATATTTTCTTCCATTAGATTTTAATATTTCCTCCAGGAACTGTTTCAAATCTTTACAGCTGTTGTGTATGATAGTCTGGATAGTCTTTTTTTAAATGTACAAAATACACCTTAATGTTATTATGCATTTCAGTCCTGACAAAAACTTTTACAAAGTTGCAGAAGCAGTGTGAGAAAATCTAAATAAATCCCACGACTTAGAACGACTATCAGCTTTGAAAACATGACATCATTGTTTTCTGTGTGATGTCATCAATCTCTTTCCTTACATGACTTCAATTTATAGGTGTTTTTGGCCTTGATTGTGTGCACTTATCTTTTCTGCTCTTTATCTTTTTTTAAGTAATTCTGATGTAAATTTGCTGTTATCCAGATCCTGCAGCAGCAAAAATAAACCCAAAGCATTCCCCCTCCACCACTGTGCTGTAGTTGTTCTGAGCTTTGACAAGACTTCTACACTTGCTCATCTACCCAAAATACATTTTTCCAGAGTTTTTGCAGCAATGCAAATGTAAGATGTGGTCCCTTGATGTTCTTAAAGACTGTAGCTTTCATTTAGCAACACTTCCAAACCAATAATCCTTTTCCAGTATTTGTCTTATAATACTATGACGTCTAAAGTCATTGCTGATGTGTTTCCTCCTTGGCATTGTGTTATCGCAGGGCTGAATGTTCAGGACGAGCAAACTGAAAACTTTTTTTTTTTTTTTTTACAGGTGATCATACTGGCTGATTTGCAGTTAATCAGATGTGTTAGTAGCACTTGCCTTCTGTTTTTTTAAAGACTTTTGAAGGTGTTAGGTTTTTCTAACGCAGCTTCTTTTTACTGAATAAATAAACACATATACAAGTGTGATATATCATGTTTTATTGTTTGTCTCAGATGGTATTTACCTCATTTACTTTGAATAGTCTTAGAATTGCAAAGAGTACAAACTCTCTTTTTATCAACCAAACCCCATTAGCTGCAACACCCAAAGCCTCTCTAAGACATGTAATTTAATCACACTGTTTACCCAGAAATTATAAAAACGCGTATTCACATACATTTACAAATTCTAAAAATAATAAGACAGATAAAAAATATATATATATCATTGCATGTTTTAGTAATGTCTTCAGATGATATGTTCGTCTGATAGTGTAATATTTTTTGTTGATGTTTAATTTTTAAACTTATACTGTATTGATTAACCTTTTTCATGGCGACAGTAAAGCCATCAGTCAAAAAAAAGCAATGCAAACACCCTGCAAACCGGACCAGAGCCTCTCCCAGCTGCTGTTGGGGAACAGGCACGTTACACCACTGATTTGTCAGCAACCACCCCGGGTCCAAACGCTACAAGCTCCCTCGTATAGACTTAACGTTGAACTACAATGATGGACCACTCAGTGGATTTAAACATTACATGCCTGTCTCTGATAAGATTCACATGGAGATTTCATGTAATATTTAATTAATATCATCTGCCTTTTCAGCCCTCGTTGCAGGCTGGCTACATCACTTTAAAGCCATCTGTTTTGTCATCAAGAATTAGACGAGCTATCACATATCTCGATAACAGTCATTTGTTAGCATGTCAGAAAGAACAAATACAATTTTATAACTTGATGTCAGGGACGGGTGGGGGGGGGTTGGTGGGTGTTGTAGCTCAGATCATTGTGATTTTAATGAGTATGTCAAGCTGTCAGTGCATTAATAGGTTGCTTATTATCACAAGAATCTCTTCACCGCTTTCCTACCAGGCTCATCCTGGAGTGATTTTCCAGTATACCCTTGAGATGTATTTATGCTTTCACTGCTACTTTTTTCCATAAGTGTATAAGGCATCTATATTACACAACACGGAGCCAGTTGCTCTTTAAACATAATCAGCAAACATCATTTGTTTGTCAAGTATCCTCTCACTTTCCTCTATTTCCCCCTCTGTTCTTGCATTCGTCTCACTGTTTCTCAGCAACATAGTGCCATCTAGTGTGCCTTGCAGGGGGCTGCATCCCACAGCTGATTTTGCGGTTTGATAAGTTATTCAATCTGCTAATGAATTAGAGGCAGACAAATCCCTACCTTTGTTTACTTAATAATCAGGCATCTATTCTTTTTCATTTGTCAAGTATATAGTTTTATTTTCAGAGGAGGTTTTGGAGATTTCTTCCTTCATCTATTGAATTGATATATTATAATTAGTTACAGAAAAAAAGTAGTGTATGCATCTTTAATTCTAACTTTAATGCACATGTTTGCGTCGCTACGGCACATGAAAGTGATCTCAGTAGTATGCGTAAAAAATTGGAAAAATTAAACTGTTTATCCGTTTCTCGTCTAAATGAAACCTGGTTCCTCTTTGCTTAATTTACGTGCTAATCAAATATTCCCATTCCTGATTAAATTACACATTTCACTCACCTTGCTCCGCCAGCAGATCATGAGAAAAAAAATGTGGAATTTCTTACTTGTTAAACTTAACTTAAAGTATGTGGTTTAGTCAAACATTGGCAGCCAGTCTCTTGTACCGAGTGCAGCCTTGACCCTCTGGGCAGTATCAGAGCTGAAGTGTTTTGGCATCAGTGTGACAGGATTAACACATCAAAAGCAGTGTCAGGGCCTACAGCAGCGTCACACAGTCAGTACAGCACCTTTCATGTTCTGCTCAGGTTCACTACAATTTCACGTAAGCCAACAGCAAGTCAGACAGAAAAAGATAATGGGGCCAACCTGCTGCTATCACACTTTTCCTTAGCTTCAGAGAAATATATCAAATTCTGTGTGTTTGATGAAAGATTGGAGTTCAACAGAATCAAGTCAGGTAACGATATCTGACTTTGTCACATGGCCGGGATGGAAAGGAGTATTTAAGTCTGACATTCAAGCTAAAAATTATTGCTGCAAGCCTGAATGGGCTCACTTTTCATGATGCAAACCTAGAATAATTAAGAACACAAAGAAAAAACAAGCCCAAGGAGTCAAATAGTTTAGATGTCTCAATCTTAAAACCAGGGTTATTCATCCTTTCGATGACTTGAAGGTGACGAACGAAGTGAAAAATATTCACTCTACTATAAAGATGCATCCGAGTAGCTCGGTTATGCACCTCAGTTTTTATTTTTTATTTTACTGATCAGCAATGTGAAGATATTCAGTTCCTAATTTCTCCTGGAAAAGCCAATATTCCAATTAGTAGTTGTTTTATGTATGTTTTAATGTATGTAAAGAAAGAAGTCTCAGTTTTTAAAAGACAATGGTTCTCAGCCCCTCTGTGAACAGTCATATAACTATATGCTATGCTATGGGTTCTCATAAATATGATCTGATAAATAAGGTAATATTTTATTAAGATCCATGTGTACAAATGTGCTACCAGAAAATACAGCTTTGTCTCTTGTGTTGTTATCAACTCAATACAGAATTGTGCAAATATTTTCAGGCTCTACAGGTGGAGTGAAGAATGATATAAACCCACTGGTCAGATCACTCTTTCTCCTCAATAAATATATCTCTTTGGCTGTTCTGCACTCTGTGGGTGTCTGACCTCCTATGCCTCTTCAGATAATCTTGCTTGGAATCCACTTTGTTGATATCGAGTCTTTATAGAGGACATATTTCATGACTCGCAAGATAATTGTTTTATGTTTCTGACCACATCTTTCAGGTTGTTTTCATGGCAGCATATCAGCATACCCATCAAATATGCACCTGATGCTCATAAATATTAGAGGCAAAATATTACAAATACCAAAAACGTTCGCTCGGCACTGTCTGTCAATGCTTTTTGTCCTTTTGTGTAATAACCCCTGTGTTTTGCTCAGGCGGTCGACATAAAGGAAAAGTTAAAGACGTCCAAGAAATTTTGGTCCAACTTGCCCGAGGCAATGTGCGTGGAGGATAGAGTGACTGCGGGAAATGCCAGCGATGAAGAGTGTTGGAACGGGCACACCAAGGGCAGGTAAAGCCACCGGAGCCCCGGAGCTGACGAGGGCTTACACAAAAGGTTATTTAGAAGTCCAAAGTCTGTTCGGTGCAGCTCATGTTAAGCAGTCTGATCCTAGCCTTTAGAATCAAGTTGCTTACTCACTTGATCTCCATTGTGTAAAAGCTTACTTTGGCTGTTATTTATTCACTAAAGTATGTATTTTCGAAACAGATTGTTGTAGTTTTGTTCACTTACTCCTTTCAGCATCATAGTATAATTTCCTTTTTTTTTCACTTTTCAAGCAGTTGTGTTTTGATTGTTCTGTAGAGTGTTGAGTGTTCATCTGAAAGAATTAATATTTTCAAATATCAGCAACTCTTTGATCACAGAAAATTAATTATACTCATTACTCTTACTTATCATGTCGCCTGTCTATCAAATTTTTGCTAATTCTCCTTGAACACTAATTATTCACACGAAAGTGGTTTTAAATGCAGTAGCTGCTGCATTATTTTCCTTTTTTGTGTGGATCCTTTGACAAATGTAATGATTCAAGGACAAAAAATGGTAAATCTTTTAATTCATGGTGATTTGAGTGAAATGTATTATCTTGAGTGACCTGGGCTTATGAGAAGTAAACGCGGTTGTGTCAGATGATTTGTGGAATGCCCTCACATGATGGCCGGCAGCTTATTTATCAAACGGGAGTGCAGCCAGCTGACATGCTTTCTGTAGAAAAATAACTCACCAGCATGGTAGTATATTACCAGTCATGATGAGGTCAAATGCCTATTCTGAAAACACCATTTTAGCATTAAAGAGTCACTGCCCAATGCTTTAGGAGAATTAGTCATAACTCAAAACGAAAACATGTGCGTGGAATTATTTCATACTCAGCAGCTCTTGTGTATTGGGCATGAAACCTCAGATGAACATTCTTTCCATATCAGGGAAGCCATTCTATAGCAAAACGGGCATTTTATGGCCTGTTCAACACAATTTAGTGTGCCTCTTTCGCTGTTAAGGTACTTTCCTGAAGTCCAAAAGGATGGCCTTACTAACCAGGTGAACAACCCTGAGGTGGGTGTGGACATCACACGTCCGGACACCATCATCCGTCAGCAGATCATGGCTCTTCGGGTGATGACCAACAAGTTGAAAAATGCCTATAATGGCAACGATATCTACTTTCAAGACTCGAGTAAGCTATTTGGCGATTTTGCTACACACAGATTTTGCTTTGCACCATGCTGCTTTTCTTCCATCTCCCTAAAGAAGGGATATGGACTTTTACTCTAGCCCAGAGCACCTGTCAAGTATGTGCCTTGATATGTAACCTTGTAACAGTGGTAATCACAATCAGTCAAACAGTCACTGACATTAAAAATGCAAACAGAAAATATTTTCAAGCTCTTAACGTTAATACAAAAATACTAACAATCTCTGTACATACACTTTTTTTAAACTGATGAAAACAGTCAGAGGGATATGAGATCATTGCAAAAGGTGTGCTACGCTTATTTGTGTTTTAATGTATTCTAAGCATACCTTCCTGCCTGACATCCACTGTCTTTATAGCAATATTTTCTTTATTGCAACATTTTAAGAACTTGTTAATTGGCTTGATGGGTGCGTAAGGGCACATATTTTCCCAGACCCTTCTTCTTACCCTTTTAATCATTGATATATTAAATTCTCAATTTCCTATAATTCAGATTTTTGGTCTCTTAAGAGCTTAACATTCCAGTCTTTTAAGCAGCTATTTGCTATTCAGATTTGGTCAGGTACTCTGGACTTAATATCACGAAACATGGTGAAGAGGGTTTAGAGGTTTTCTTTACAAGCAATACTTTTTAGATAGATATAGTCATTTTGATCCATTTTGCATGGAAATAGTCAATATGTTCTGCATTTGTCCAGAATTTGTTAAGTTTCTTGAATTTCTTGGGTGTTATTGGGAGCATTACACTGATATGCTCGTTCTGCGTTGTGTTTCTTGTACCTCTGCAGGTGATGAGGGCAGTGGCTCAGGCAGCGGCAGCGGGTGCACAGAGGTCTGCCCCACAGATATGGATGCCGCTACCACTGAAGTCCCAGTAGCCAGAGCTGACCGGAGCAGGCCTGAGGCAGACTCTGCACAACTTTGTGCTCCTTGTGTAGCCCTGCCAACCATGCTGGCCATATCAGCTTTAGCTCTTCAGCGACAATGGAGATAATGCTGGAATAATGAATATGGACAGCAGGGTTTCTTTTGCTCTCTTTTTCCACAGTTTTGTATTCAGGCAGATTGGAGCTGTCAGGCAAAAGCATTTGGGCTGCCAGTCGTGATGCTAGAGGAGTCTGCTCTGAGAAAGAGAGTAGTCATGTATCATGATTTCCAACTTTTCCAAAGATCATGCAGTGCCATCTCTAGACATTAATATTTTATGGCACCATTTCACCATCTAGTAATGATGCTTACCCAACAAACTCTGCTTCAGAGAAAAAACAAAACAAAACATATATACATATATCTTGCACATCTGGCAGATATCAGTGTAGATCTCTAAATGGAAAAATATAACATGCACTTTGATTGTGTTCATTTTTTTTCAAATGCAAAAAAAAATGTGTTAAAAAAATTGTTGAGATTGTGGTTATGCACCAGTTAAGGGTACATTGAGTTTGATAAATGTCCAATATTATATTTTCAAGCAAATAATTACACAAATGCCAGATAATTCGGGAACATGTGTTTTTTACCAAAGGCTCAAAGGAAGTGTTGCTCTATTGTCATTGAGTTGAAGACTAATTGTTGATTGATCATGCTTAAGAATCAAATCCTCATTATAAATTCATTTATTGTTTTTTTTAGGATCTAATGCAGCCTTTGGATTGTGTCTCTTCATCATATCCGTCACAATCATTTTGGTAACATTATACAAAGTTGTAGGTGCACTATATCATAGTTTGGTCATGGATCTTCACAGCCTTTTAGCTATTTGCTGTATCTGTTCAACAGTGGCCTTGTGCTAAGACTTGCTCAAGAATAACAGTAAGGTTAACATTTTATGTACTCCTCTGCCTTGCAAAAAGTACAAATTATCTTTCAAATATTCTCATATCATGCTGGATTTAAGCTTTAGCAGGTTAATAAATCTCATGAATACGTTTTTCTTATATATTGCAGAGAAAGTGCCACCAAAATGCAGTTATGCAACTGTGTCAGACTAACATTGGTTCTGTTGGGGTGTAAGTCGCCAATCATAAGTCACCACCAAAAATATCTACTGGTTGCAAAGCCCTTTCAGTAAGCCCTTCTTCTGCCTAGCACACTTTGTTATATGTAAATGGACATATAACAACATCATTCCCCACAGTCTTGTACTGCTGTAATATCTTTATCAACATACAGCCATTGGACCTTCAAAATGTTGTGCTGCATCCACAGGTTCATCTACAGATAGATATATTTGAAACAAACCTGTTGTAATTGCATAAATAAGTAAAATGTCCATTGTGCCAACAAAATTAACATAAAGTCAAGCAGAATTAAAATGTCAAGGGGAAATCACTAAAGAAAATATTTAAAAAATAATACTATAAATGTAATAGGTATTGAGAATTTTTAAAAGAGCCAGCCGCAAAAAGTGCAAAGTGGTAACTGGAAATGCAAAGAAAGGGTCTGAAAATTTATCTGGAAAGCTTGAATGGTTGTGTCTGCAGCACAGACAGGTTTGAAGCCGACCACAGTCACCTGTGAAATGAAAATCTGTGGAGACCGGACAGGCCTGAACGCTTCGGTGAAGCTTCTCAGTGGAGTGTACTTACGTAGAATGTGAGAGGCCTGGCACTGCAGTGGGAGGGCGGACAAGACCAGCATGTGTGTACATCCACTGCTCTCTGAAAGCCATCAGGTCCCTAACTATCAGGCCGGCTGAGCTTACCTATCCACTGAATTAACCAGTAATATGCCCTTTCACTGTGTATGAATGAAATTAGGAGCTTCCTTTTGTTTGATTGCCATCGTATATGAATTCGCATCAGAATTTAAACAACAAAAAACTGAGATAAACATGTTTAATTGAAGATGATCCTTTATTATGACTGATTGATCTCACAGGATGCCCTTTTTATGTTTTGTATCATTGAACTTTTACTATTTTTGCAATAAAAATGGAAAACATATGTCTGGTCAGACAAATTATCAGAAAAAATTATGGGGAGGAGTGTTTTTTTAACAGTTAATCCATTGTTACATGACATCTGATCATAAATAGGTTCATTTTATTTGGAAATTTGGAACTGAAATGTAATTTCAAACAGAGGGATGAAGAACTAGTAGAGGAAATATGCCTTACTGTTTTTCAGTGCAATTAAGATTATTGCATTTGTGTTTTGTTACTGTTCTTGAGAATAAATTGTTATTAAAACCATTCCAATAGATTTGTGCTCATGGTAACTTTGTGAAACAACAGTAAGGTTTGAAAACAAGTTCAGGTTTTTATCAAAATGATTCGGTAATAGTTAAAGTTAAGATTAATTTTAAATGTATACATTATTGTTCAAACAATGGTCAGATGATTACTCTACCATGTGACGAGATTCATACCTAAAAGCACAATGTTAATTTAGTTAGAGGATTAATATTTTGCCATTGCTTCACAGTGGAACATTGTAGACAGCCTGCTCCTGCCCTCTGAGGTATGTCTGTTTGAATACTGAAGTGTGTTTCTGAACAACAGGTGAAAGCTAGGCTTCCTCTGTGTACTTTCTATTTGTGAAATCTGCTTTTATCAGAGGTTCAAAGCCTCTGTTTCTCCGCTGGCGCAGGTAGAGCACAAAGATAAGGAGCAGCACCAGGAGACCAACGAAGACTCCCCCTAAAGTGGAGCCAAGTACAAAGACAGCCGGCCCTCTGTCTGCATCTGTGGAATTGAAGCACAGGTGGAGACATTTGTTTAAACCTCTTCTTTTTCAGCAAAGCATTTGTGAGGTAATACAATTTTCTCTTTGTATATATTATCAATTATGCTCTGACTTAAAAAAACAAAACAGGACTAAACATTTAACAAGGCCATCAATAGAAATGAATGACTTACATTAGATTTATTAATCTTTTATCCAGAGTAACTTATTTATACACAGTTTTGGCAACTATGTGTTCTTGCCCAAGAACAATTTGAAATGTATCTTGTAATCAAACCACCGACCTTTCCATTGGCAGGTAACGGTTCTTTCAGCTGAGCTACCCCCCCGAAACTTAGCATATCTCTGCTGTGAATGAAACCAATACTGTTGATCCATTGATCCATTAGTGTGGATTGCCAATTCGAAAGTCCAAATCTTTGAAAGTTTAAAATATGAATTCATATATCTTTGATACCACTCTCTCCTCCTACAAGTAAGCCCATATAAACCAGATATACACAAAAGTTACAGCTCTTACCCCAGAAGGACAGTACTACATTTAGTTGTATGATAAACTATTTTCCTCTGTTTTCAGTCTTTATTCATGTTTTAAAAAAGCAAAGAGGGATTTCACTGCACTTCCATTTTTATCAAAATGCCAAAATATGTTACCTTATTTCTATAAACCTTTTATTTCTTACTCCTTTCAATATTTGCTCACCGTCTAGGGAAATTGAGTAGGAATATCCCAACTGCTCAGTGGTGACATAGATCTCCTCATTAGTGATTGGAGGGAAGAATGGCACCATGTTATAGTCTCTGTTGTGACCAATGGGGGCCATCTCATCAGGGTAGGTGGCATTGGAAGGATCGATTCTTCGCATCCACTCATCAAAAATGGCATCAGTAAAAGCATGGAGAACCTTAAAGGTAAAATAAGAGGAACACCTTGGTGGTTAAAGAAAAAGAGGAAAGATATGCCTTTCATATGTGGTTTAAGGATGAAAACCGTAAGATTTGATTCTGACCAGAAAGATGGGGTCATTGGCAGCAGAGTGAGATAAAGAGCTGGTTCCATTGAGTAAAGTGTGGACAAGGTTGTGGAGGTTATCGACTGTATCATCAAGCTCTCCATCTGGCTTTTCATATCCTTCAAGAGCATTTCTGTGAAGTGTAAAGCATAGTGATTGTTCAGTTGCAGTTTTAAAACATCTGAACTATTCATTTATATATATGTACATACACACACACACACATATATGTATATATATATATATATATATACACACATTTATATATATGTACATACACACACACACACACACACATATGTGTATATATATATATATAAGTAATAAAACTCCTAACTTTCAAACTTCTTGTCAGTCCAATATAGTGGATGTTATTTCTTAAATATGTAGAACAGTTGTTTGCTGATTGTAACCATGTCAGCACTAGTGAAAGAAAAGGGTTTTACCTAAAACTAAAGGACGAGTTGGTGAAAAAGGGAGGGCTATCAAAGTCCCTGATTCCGAGACAGCTTCTGACGTCATTCATGGTAGGCAGAGACTTGTTGGCTGTCTCCATGATCCCTCTGAGAATTAAACCCTCACTGGTGCCATTGCAAAGAGTCACAAGGCGGTTGTAGTCATCCAAACTAGAAGAAAAGCATAGAATGTTTTTCTTTCATCAGTAAAAATATTAGTGGTGTCACAATCCTACAATTTAACCACTAAATGTTGAAAATGATTTTTCTTCCCATCAATATTTTATGCTAACCTGTTACACACCACTCCCCATCTGGAGAATCTCGACTGGTCACTGATAAGGGAGGGGTTGTTCGGGTTTCGGCCTCCCAACAGAGAGTCAGTACACACATCACACTCACTCTTCCCTGTGGCAAAGTTCCAGTAAGGGATCGCAAAGTTCTCATTTCCTGTCAGCCTCTGCAGGAAAACGGCAAGTGTTATTATTTTCATAGCTTACTTGTGACTTGAAGCTGTTTATTATGTACATCTAGCTTCTGCAGTTTTCTGTTGCAAAGTATTGATAAGATATAATTATCTCAATTAATTGTCATTCTCCATTTCTACATAAGAAAAGTAATTATTTCTCTGCTCTGGGATAGGCAGAAGTCCTAACAAATAGTGGAGAAGTTAAACAATCTGAGTCTCTCTTCTCCTGTCTTATGCCTTTACCATCATATGATCACATGTGCATGATCCAAATGCAGAAGATACACAAAATCATAATTTTGAACTTCTCTTTGCAGGGATTTTGTTGCTGTTTAAGATATGAAAAGCATGATAAAATCAAGACATAAGTAAAAAATAATAACCAATAAGAGTTGCAGGAGAAACTCATATCACATAGGCCAGGGGTGTCAAACTCTGGTCCTCGAGGGCCAATGTCCTGCAGGTTTCTGCACACCTGATTCTGATTAAATTGGATCTCCTCTGGACATTGTTGAGCTTTCCCTGCTAATGACACTTTGATGTGAATCAGGTGTGTTGAAACAGGGACACCTCTAAACCCAGCAGGACAGCGGCCCTCGAGGACTGGAGTTCTACACCTGTGACATAGGCAATGTGTCAATTCTGTTCTGGTTAGTGTTTGCCAGGTTATGTCAATTTCAACATTTAAGGCATAATTATTCTCTAAACCTTTAACGATCAACATTTATTTGGAAAATTGTGTAATAAAACCACGAGCTTTGGTGGTCATATTGTGTCTTGGGGAAGTATAATCATAACCTTCACTATCAGGGTACTATTTGGGCAGGGAAAGGTCTGCAGTTACAAATCTAAAGTTACTGAAATATACGCCAAGGGAAAACATCACTTGAGGCTGAAAATGAAAGGATTAGCTTTATGTGCAATTGAAAATGCCTGAAAACTTCTAGATCACAGTTCTTATGGTTCAAATTGAGTGCTCAGCATAGTTAGATTTTGCCATGTAACTAATGACGGACAATAATTTCCATTCAACAGTTATAAAAGAGACCCTTGACTATACCTGCAGCTCTCTTTCCAAGCTGAGAAGGTGATATCTGTGCCACGTGATGAACGCTGGTCCTTTATGAGAGAAATCAATGGCTCTAAAGGGGCGGCCTGGACCTACGCAAAAATTGAATATTTTGTCATTGTCTGTTTTTAAAATCACAACACGATAATGACCACGTCAATAGCCAAAAAAACAAAAAAAAAACAGAAATAACATTTACCAAGAAGGGTGTCTCTAACTGAGTAGTAATGCTGCCAGACAAAGAAGTCGTAGATGGAGATGTTGGAAAACTGTGGCTCAGTTCCATTTGGTCCCAGCAGTCCAAGCCAGTGCTGAGTGGCAATGACATAATCTGGATGGATCGTGGTTTTAGCAAGATCCAGAGTATCCAGGAACACTTGAATTTCTTCAGGGGTTAAGGAGTGGATGTTCTTCCGCACCACAGGAGTCTTCCTCTGGTCACAGTTTGGTCCGGCCCAGCCAAACTTACACTGGCCACAGTCAAAACCTGCAAAGTTGCCTGTGACACGGAGACTGACGTCATTGCCGGAGTTTACTATAGAAAATGTCATGCTGATTATCTCCCTCAGCTTGTTATTGACATAATATTGCAATAAATCTGTAAATCACTCACCAGTACATCTGCAAGTCTGATTGAAGAATTTGGTCGGCCACCTCTCTCTGTCGTCAACATTTCTGAGTCTGTAGGGTCCTCCCCAGGGTTTGGCATCAACGCGAACAGCGGTGCAGCTTCCCCTTCCTGACAGAGAGCCACAGATGTTGGCAGGATCTGATCCCAGAGCAGGGCAGCACTGCTTGGACAGGATTCCCTCCACTGTGCAGCACACTCGAGGAAACTGGGCCTCTGCTGGCTCAAGGCCGAGAAGCAAAGATAGTAGGCCAAGACCAAGTGCAATCATATTCCACCTGTTTGTTTCTTCCATTGGATGCTGACGAATCAGTTTGTAGATCAACTATTTACTGCAATGCAGTCTATCAGGTCCCCTCCAAAAAAGTATGGAATCTCACTCTTCTATGGTCCTCCGCAGTGTATCTTCAAATTGGATTCAGCAATAGTGTTAACATCTGTGGAAACAACACTTTAAAGCCAAATCATGTTGTGTTCCAGTTGGTTACATGGACATTAAGAAAGTCCCCAGTGTCTGCTCTTGCTTTTGTAAGGCTGAGAGGGATTAAGATGTGGGTCTTGTGATGATCACCTGACAGAGGGGAACTGGAAGAATACCAAGAAAATGTTGAAAGGACTGTTATACTTTACTTGTCTCGTACCAAGAAAGAATAAATGTGATTTGTATTGTTTTTTTGTTTTTACATTGTGCCGTCTGTGTCTTTCTAAGAAAAATGTAAATACTATTCAAAGGAGTTTTTTATGAAGTGCAGTACTGTACTGATCTACGTAATCTAAGGGGAGGTCTGATTACTTTAATCCAAGTTTGGACAGAAGATTGTTTGTGCAAGTCGAATAATTATAGAAAGTGCAGACATAACTGATTAAACTAACTTTATGTCTATTTGAATACAGAGGAACAATGAATGAGGGGGGATAATGCAGGAAAAACACACACCACCCCTCCCCACAAAATGTACTCTATGCTTCTGCTGACATTCAGGCACATGACCACCTAAATGACAAAACATCAAATGGCCACTTTCTTCACAAGATTAATGTCCCTACAGGGGATGGAAACAAATGTATTAAAATAAACTAATTTTGTTTTTAATATGTCACAGGTTAGTTTAATTACATCTCGTATTACTACTTCGAAAACGAAGAATCAGATAATGTTAAATCACAAATAATCACGTCAAGTGAGGTAATATCTTTTAGATGAAATATGTTACTGCCCTTAAGACAGTATTGTGATTCATTCAGAGACCTCTGATCCTCTAGCCAGTCTGACCCATACTCCTCATGCATACCAGGAGGAGGTCTGTCATGTGATGCAGTGTAGGATTTACCCTTTAGTAAAGCAAAAAGAAAAGAACATTTTCTCATTTTTACTATGTATATTTTGTTTACGCTTTTAGACCACATGCTTTGTTGTGTTGTGTGAAATGGACCAACATGCAAACCCGATAAAAGAAAAACAGAAAAAAAGCAATATTAACTAAATGTCCATCAGATATTTACTTTTAAAAAGATTAATCCATTCCAAAAAATAGGTTAGATTTTGTATCAGTATCTGATTGTAAAAAGATCGGATTGTAAAAAGATGTGGGGAATCATACATGAATAATGCTCTATGAGAAAACCTCTGGGTGACTACATGGTATTTTACACAACAGGCCACGTCAGGTTCACTGCACCCAACAGGATTAGTGAGTTAATTCATGTGAATCAAATGCATTTCTTCATTTAAGTGTTTTCACCTTAGCTTCAATGAGTAAGAGTAAACCTGTGTTGATAAAAACCCCACTGTTTCTCCATAGGTATGGCTTTCCATGCAAAGGACCTGATATGTCAATCTCTCACAAACCAGCATATACATATAAATCTAATTAGAGATGATATCAGATATATTAAGTAAGAAAAACAAATATAAGTCAAAGAAAATGTGCATGAATGAGAAATGAAAATTCAATAGAGGTTTTCCTGAAGAGAAAATACATGATTTTATTTTACTTGGTGACAAGAACAAAACTGAGTAAATATACAATGAGCTTATTGTGCTCAAACTCATATTGAGGAATACTTGTCCCGTGGTGATGGTGAGGGCCAGTGGCTCGACCTCTAAAACATTTCTGCCTGTCATCCAAAGTGGAGGGGGAAAGGGCAGAATCTTGGATATCTGATAAATTTACCTTGATAATTAAATTAATCTTCTTTAAAAGGGAAATGTTTTGTTTTGTTTTTTGTTTTTTTTATGACGAAATGTACATAATTATAGTAAAACAAACAAATCCTCTGATATTTATGCATTTACTTTGAATTAGTACACTAAACAAAATAGAAATAGTCCGTCTAGAGTCTAGAATTTTATCAGAGATAATATGAGTTATAGTAGTACAGTATTAGTTTGTGCTAAACGCACATCACATAAATATTGAGTTCACTCAGAAAAATTGTGATTCTTCAGCTGTTTTACACTGTAATGTTAACCAGTAAGCAGAATCTTTTCTTCTTTTCTCACTCACAGCTTCAGGATGCATTAACAAACAGGATTCATTATTCCAGCTGGAACACAGGATGGAGCCAGAGAGTCATGCTGAAATCAGCCAGCATACATAAAGGCATCCAAGAAGTGACAGCGAAAGTGAAACATCCATCCATTTTCCATACCGCTTATTCGCAATGGGGTCACGGGGGGGCTGGACCCTTTTCCAGTTTACAGTGAAACATATTTCTTAAGTAAAAAACATATAATACATTTACAGTCAGGGAAAGACAACTGCCAATATTCACCCATAAAAAGAAGATTTTAGGTAACAGCGTGGACATTCATTTGCATATCTCTTAATAGTTTTAATCCTATTCACTCTGTCCTCATTTGTCTTTTCAAATGGAGTCTGAGCTTCTCACGACTTTCATGTCCAATACAAGGATGTGCATAATGGTGGAAATGCATCTTCATCTCAATGAAACCATGCTGCAAAACGTCTCTCAGAGAAAATCAAAGATGAAGGTGAAATGAATCAATTGCTAATGTGTGGATGTAGAAATGCGTCCATTTTCTTGACAACTGTGTGAATATTGCACCTAAGACCTAAGACCACTCTACATATACTTTATGGCGACATGTGTTGGCCAAATAATAGGAGGCTTTCACATTTTTAATTGAGGCCACTTCAGTTACATTTATAGACAACAGAGCACAGCATCCTCGAAATTGGTGAAAAGCAACTCATTTAAATGTTTTTGCTGTATTCTATTAATGATATGTAACACGAGAGGGCATTTAGTAAGCCCTGCAGGGCATTTGGAGTTCCTTCTGCATATTCATTCATCCTCCTTTCAAATGAGCTCACACTGAATTTTATCCTGCACAACATACAAACTGAAAAAACAGGAGAAAGAAAACTGTGAACCTTGAAGCTTAATCAGTTTTTTCTATGAAATACACAAAAAAGAAGTTCTTTTAAACCAACAAATAAAGTGTGATTAGAATCAAGCTTAATAAATGTCATTTAGAAGTCTCTTCATAGATTATTATACATAGCCCTTTCACTGGATCATATATTATTTAATACATTCATTGCAAATATGCTATTGATGGACAAACATTCATAAGCAGTGCCTACAATATCGCACAAAGAGATTAAACCATGGATACAAAATTCTACTTGTACGGGTCTTTTATATTTAGATCATAAGAGTTTGTCCAAATCCAAAACTTACCCTGCTGCTGAAAATCATAATTTCTGAAAAATGAAATCTATTACTTGGCTTGAAGATTCTCATGATTTTGCTCATCTTGTCTCATTTAATGTCTTCTTACAGTTTTCCTGTAAGATTATTTTATTTTAGTTACATATGGCTATTGATGAAACCATAAATGATAAGAGAAGTGATGTTATTTTTGTTTTAATGTAAAATTTCCTTTGTACTCACTATGGCAATGCTTTTAAATTCTAAGAGGAAGATAGGACAGATGCAGTGTCCGTGGACAATAGTAGGGGGGCAGTGTTGCTGTTTCTGTTTTCCTTTGGTTCAGTGCAATGACTGGCCCTCACAGTTTGTATTTCCTTCACCAAATATGCCATGAAATAGTCTAGGATTGGACATCTTTGTACTTTAACTGTCACCATTTCAAATCTCAAGCATGCCAAGGAGTGACTGACAGCATATACAGTGGGCTGGGTAGTATGCAGTCATGTGAAATGGGTAGCCTGTATAGAGTTTTAATCCTCTTTAAGACTCCTATCCATCTACAAATTAATATATGTGGGCCACATATCCCACTGCACTAGTTTGTTTTCATGTAACCCACTTCTCTAGCAACCCGATCAAATTATTCACTGGAACATGAGATTAATAGTTATGCTGCGAAACATGCTCCAGGTCAATTTTTTGGGAGATTCTGATGATATTCTCATTACGCTGTAAAGCCAATTCAAGGACAAGCAGCATGAAGAAGCGTCTTGTAGATTAATTGCCATTAAAGGTCAACATGCGTTCAAATTGACAATGATGATATTCATCTTCTTCTTTTTTTATCTGTATGAAGCACAGAGTATATGGGAAACCTATAATGCTCATTACATGCATTAAAATGGGCCTGTCCTAATTACTAATCAGTCTCTTGTACCATTAGAGATGGAAATTAGAAATACAAAATGGACCCGTAGGCATCATTCACTAAAAATGTATCAATTTCCCTTTATATTCTCATTGGCATTTTGAAAATTAAAACTCTTGAAACTTTCTTAATTATAATATGTCGAAAGCAAGGTCTCCTTTTTTTTTATTTAAAAGAAAATCTGTGGTTCCTCATGACATTAAACAACAACAGTTTGTGACTAAAACTGGGTGGTGTGATGTATATTTTTGTTCCAATGGCTTCTAAAATACAAAACTCTACTGTTTATTTCGCTATGCCCCAATCAGAATATTGGCTAGACCCTTCAGAGATTCTTTCTTCAATGATTTCCGCCCACCTCTCTGGCAGCTTACCGATTTACATTTGAGCATAATGCAAGCATTAGAGGAGGCACAAGGCAGCCCTGATAAGTTACAAAGTGCTCCAGGGTTAAACCTCGTAAGAGAGGGTTTGGAGTTATTTACAGCATTCAAATCCTTCAAAAATTCATGTCTGGAGGATGAGATTGGTTTTGCAGCTGATGCTTTGCACACAAAGCAAACACAATGCATGTGGAGGGCGTTTAGCCGTAAATGACCAAATGACATTAATTCTAATTGACTGATCTCATCCCATGCTCAGGACCAGTGTGTTTTATACTGCTCAGGACACAAGGGTCCTGT